TAGTACAGTACAGAACCCGTTATCCGGAAATCAGAAAACCAAAAAACCAGAACAAAATTCGATAAATTTTCCCGCCATTTTTTAAAATTTTTTTTTTTTTCCTCATAAGATTTTAGGATTTTTCTTTCTTCTTTGAAAGATGTTCACCTTACTATCATTTTGGAAATAATCATTAGTGTATTACTTCATCGTTTTTTCTTCTTTTTAAGATTATTTCCAAATTTTTTTTTTTTTTAGTTGGGTTTAACAATAAAAAAAACGTCTTTTTGTAGCGATTCCGAAAACCGGAAAAATCAGTTATCAGTTATCCGGTCCCGATCGTTTCGGATAATCGGTTCCCTACTGTATAAATTTTACTAATTGTTATTTTATGATTCAATCAGTAAATAAAAAACCACTTTGAAATTCCCGATGCAATCGACAAAATACTATGTATAAATATTATAGTTGCTAGTTTATGATGCAAAAAAATAAAAAAATAAATAAAACGAATTAGTATGAGAAAAAATAATACATACACTTGAAGGGCGAGCTTCTAAAAGTTTATCTCGTACTTCATTAGATAATTGAATATTTTGCCTAAAATACATTCAACAAGTTAAATACAAAAAGAAAAAAATCAAAATATAACATTAATTTTAGGAAATGTAGTCATATGTCTTTTTTTTTCTCTCTCAAATACATAAGAAATTAAACATTTCACCTTTGAAGTGTTCCATTAGGTAACTTAACTAAATTTTATAAATGAATTTTTGAAAGTAATATAAAAAAAGGGTGATAAATTTTATTTGATGCCTTCATATCTAATAGCTGGTAATAAATCCTCGTTAAGGAATCATGTAATGTTTAATTTTTTTCAGGACATGTAAACAAACGATATTGACCTATCATTCCGTATTACTCTCTAATCACATACTTTAAGAATCTACCTTCTTTCAAAATATTTATTTTAAGTAAATAAATAATTTTAAGTGATTTTTTTTAAAAATGTACCATATTAATTTTAGTTCTCCCCATAATAGCTTAATGATACCATATTAGCTCAATGACATTGAAATTATCGATTTTTTTGAAAGATGCTAGATGTACATAATTTCATAGACTTTTGAAGCATCTGCGCTAACTTGTTTATCATACTGGATTCTAAAATTTAAATTTAAAATGTCTCTGAGAAATAAAAGCTTAAAAATATGAATTTTATACAGAGGTTAGCATATTACTATCTTTTATTCTGGTACTTTTACTGTACAAGCTGCAATCAAAAAGGTGAAGTAATAGATTTAATTACTGGAATATTCAATTTATTTCTATAAAAATGTAAAAAGCATTAAGGACTTAGATTGGTAATCCAATAAAAAGAATAACATAAAAGGCAGTTAAGCCTTGTCAAAATAAAAGTAAAAAATCTATACCTGATTCAAAAACAGGGTAGTCATAAAAGCTTGGAGAATAAATTTCCAAATTTTTCTTTACAAATTGAATTTCCTTTATTTTTTGTAAATAGTGGCATAAGTTTCATTAATAATTTTTTTTAACTATGCCATGTTCTTAAGCATAAAATATATTATAAAACATTTAAGTGAGTCATTAGAGTTAAAAATAGACATCTTTTTTTCAAAAAATAATCATTACAAAACCAATTTTATTTAAAAAATATGGGACTTTGAGGTAACTCAAACATAAATTTATTCATTTTTCCATACTTTTTTTGGGTGCTTTAGTTAAACTTCCTGTTTTGTGGACACCCAGAAAAATAAGTTATGTTAATAACTTATGTTAAAAAAATAAATATGTTATGTTAAAAAATAAGTTAAAAAATATATGACCATGTTATGTAGACCATGAATTTTCGTCAGTGTCTAAACACTAAATGTAATTTGGTATTTAGATACTGAGGAAAGTTCATCTTTATAGAATCAAAACTATAGTATATACTTTTCCATATTTTTATTTATGTCTTTTTTCCTTAGTTTAAATCATAGACAGTACTATTGTTTCCTTAAATAAATTGCACAAAATAGCTCCTGACTTGTTAATCCTTGATTGTATTCAATGTCAACTGTAGCAATGACTTAGTTTGCGTATAGAAAAATATTACTTTAAAAGATAGAAAACAATTTCTGCTTGTAAAACACTACCTAGATAAAAGAATTATAACATTTGAAAGTCAAAATATTCAAGGAAAAAAAAAGCCATAAAAAGACAAGTGCAGTTTGATATTAGTGTTATAATAATAATAATTAAATAAAATACAGCTGGTCTCTTGAATAAAAAAAATCTTATGATGAAAAATAATGTAAGATATTTTTAACCAAAAACACATGGATTCTGCTAAAATTTTTTTAAAAAAAGCAATGGTTTTGCCAGCAATTTCAGTTAGTTTAAGTCTAAACTAAATACATTACATTAAAGGATTTTATGAAGAAGGAAATCAAAATACAAATTATCTTAAAATGTAATAACAAGTATGAAATAAGCACAGAACCCAAATTCAAGAATAAAATCCTTATAAAGTAAAATATCAAGCTAAAAAATAAAGATTATATAAAGATAGTTTAAAACTTACATCATATGATCAAAGTCATCAGGAAATTTTAGTTCCTCTTCCTCTTTAAGCTCTTTAATTTCTAACATTTGTCGCTCAACAGGTACAGCATACATAGCTGAAAGTTAGAAATATATTAAAAAAAACAACATTATATATAAAGTTTCTTACATTAGTTGTTCGTAAATAGTTTTAAAGTAGACTATAATCATCTAAATTATAATTAACACTAATGACCTTCCAATAACTTTAAATTATAATTGATATTAAATTACAATCGATCTTCAGTACCTTAAACTTTTATAAAGTAGACTATAATTTTCTAATAATGCTGAATTATAATTGACATTAATGACTTTCTATTATAATTGATACTAAATTACAACTTATTATAATTGATAACATTCTAACTTTGAATTATAATTGATACTAAATTACAAGTGAATACAAAATTATATATCAATTCCTGTTTTTTTTTTGGCCTTTAGAATAGTTACAAAACTGTGAGCAGTGCTTTCATTAAAATAATGTTTAGTTATTTTATTACCAATTGATAAATTATAGTATATTGGATGCTAAAAATTCTTTTATTTAATTTTAGTTAGTTATACCACTAAAATACAAAGGAGAAAAAACCTTACCTNTACAAAACTGTGAGCAGTGCTTTCATTAAAATATAGTTTAGTTATTTTATTACCAATTGATAAATTATAGTATATTGGATGCTAAAAATTCTTTTATTTAATTTTAGTTTGTTATACAAGTAAAATACAAAGGAGAAAAAACCTTACCTTCAACATGTAAACGAGAGAGTAAATGTGTTGACCACACAGATTCTTTAAATTGTGGGGGTAAATACTCCATAATGCAGTCTAAGTTTGCATCAGAAACTCTCAGGTACTCCAATCCACTGAAATTACATAATACATTTAGTATTTTGATACAAAACTTAGAATGACGAGCAAAACGCTGAAATTATTTGTTTTTAGTTACATTCAAAGCATATCACATACTTTAAGATTTTGAAAAACTTATATGTTGCGATTGCAAATAAAATATTATTATTTTTTAAAATATTAAATTTCAATGTTTTTTTTTTAAAGTCAGTAAAAGTTTGAGATAATTTAAGATTTGCTAGCTAAAAGCCTTTATTTTCATTTCAAACATTTTATAAGAGATTTGCTGCTTCCTGTCAAAATATTGCTTTTTAAGAATATTATTTTAAAGCTACATATGGCATCATAAAATAGTTCAAGATAAGTGTATCAATGAAAATTTCCATCTCATTAATCTTATCTTTGATCTCACATTTAATCTAATCTGATAATCTTTTGAGCCATGCTTAAAGAATTATATTTTAGGATCATAGCATAGGATGCAAAACCTTTCAAAAGTTAAGCCATTGAAGTGGGGGGAAATGTGCATGTACAGCCTGGGCAATACAGAATAGGACAAAATTAATGGTAATCATCAGCCACAGGGCAACTAAATATAAGAAGTCGAGATTAAAAATAAAATAAATTTAAGTAAATTTTTCATAATTCTGATACATGAACACATTACAAAAGGACTAAAATATCAAACTACAATATAACTTAACATTTAAAAAAGTCGTCAAGTTCAAAAAGTTAAAAATTTATTAAATAGTATGTTATATAAGAATTTAGAAACTATGCACATAACTTAAGTTATGTCGTTTAGGAAAATCAAAATTGTAACAACTAAGTTTGGAAATCTGCTGTACCCTTAACCCTTCAAGCATTGACTCCCTTAGTAAAAGTCAACAGAAATTTCCCTGCTACCCATTATTTTTCTATTAAATAACATGATGGAAACCGTTTTTTTTTTTATGCAGAAAAACTTGTAGCTAAAAGTTCTAAGAAAAGCGGAACTACCGCTCAGAGGGCTAAAGCAGAGATGCTCCTACATCTGATTTTCAAGGCTGTTGATATAAAAAGAAAGCTGTATTTATACTAGTACCTTGGAATCAGTTAAAATAGTTGACTCTGAACTTTGCTCAGAGCTAGACTCTAACTCCAACTCTGTATTATATTTAATTAAAACTTTCACTCAAACCAAAGAAAAGAATTAAAAATATTAAGTAATTGTTATTTTCAAATTTTATATTTTTATTTAAGTACAATAAGAGTAAAAAAGTACCTTATTATTTAAAATTACATTTTATATAACAACATAACAGTTGATGAAATAAATTAAAATGTATATACTTAAACAAAATATTGAAATAGTACAGTTTACAAGAAAAAAATCTAGATATCAATACACTGGTGCAAAAACATGACTTATGACTAGGGTTTCAGCTGAGATCAAAAGTCCTTTAGCAAAAAGGCTTAGTTCAGAAAAATGATAAATTGTGATTTGATTTATGAATGGAACATTGCATACCATACTAAAGTTTACATGAGCTTCATTTTTATTTTTATGCAAATTTTAAGATTTCACTTTAAAACAAGATTTCTTACCATTCTAGAATACAGAGTTTAATATTTTTTTCCTGTTAATTTCATTATCTGTTTGTGGAGCAGAATTGTAATTTTTGATTTGTTTAAGAAGTATTTTCTATGCTTACACATGTAGAATGTATCATACCAAATCAACAGACGTTCGATATTGTGATTCTCCTCTCGATTTTTTGCGAAATTATTTCTTTAAAGAATATAGTAAAATGATTTAGCAAAAAAGCTAAAATGTCTTGTTTCGGATTAGCATTTTTAGATAGTTTTATAGCATTTGGCTAAAAATTCTAGCATAGCAAAAACTCTTCTTATAACAAAAAAGTGGTTTGATTATTCATTTGAATATTCTTGAATTAACTTAGCAACCTGGCAAAATAAATTCGATTTTGCAATTTATAAATTTTCTAATAGTAATTTATTAACGAATTTTTTTAAAATTAGTATTGATTGATCCTTAAGTGCTTTTAATGATTTTCAAAATTCTTTTTCAATAGTTAAATTCACATAGGTTCAGAAATATTAAATAGTCATCAATTAAGTTTGATAGGTAATAATTTAAATAACTATATTCAGACAAGTAATATTTTTGTTCATACAGTTGTAAATATTCGGCGAAATAAGTTTCATGAGATAAAATTACTTTCTTTTCTTATCTTTCACCCCACAGGACTCAACTTTTTACCAACTAAAGACAGAGTGGAACAAATTTTCAACTTCAACTCCTGCAAACCTTTTTTTAGACTTTGAATCCTTGGCCATGGTTATAACTTTAAACAAAAAATAAAAATACATATAATTTTTACTTTTTCTTTAGTGGACTCTTCTGTTGAAGTTTCCACTCTTTGGCTGTTTTGGAAACATTCTGAAGTGCTTCCTTTGCTTTATTTAAGGAGTCTTTGATGAAGGAGAAATGGTCCATTCTTTCTTGAGAAACACATCCTACTTGGTAGCCTAAAACAATTGTCCATAGGTAAGAATAAAATTCTTTTTTTATATCTATAAGTGTAATGAAATTAGACATGTGTCCAGAGCATTTAAAGCACAAAATTTCATCTTACAGATATGAAATTGAACACCAAGCTAGAAGGTGGTCATATAGAATGTTTCTCTTTTTTTTTTTAGCTGGAAGAATATTGATCACAATTATTTTTGCCAGATTTTCCTGCACATTGAATACTTAAAAAATTGAACCCCTAAAATACCCAATGAAAAAAAGAAATTTCTTTCATTTGTGCTAAATATTAGCAAAATGACTATTCCCCTCAGTTTTTATCTTGTTTATAACTTAGCTAAATTTAAACCGATAATAGTTCATGAAACTTTTTTTATATGTCTGAAATATTAGGAAAGACTTTTTGAAATTTTAAATTGTTGAAGAGAACATACATCAATCGACTACCATGCCAATTGAGTCTATCCATTAAAGCCCATCATGTGCAAGTCAAACATCCTAGAATTATTTTCCAATGTGAAGTTTTTAATATTTTCCTTTAAAACAAAGCCTCTTATTTTAATAGGATCTTCTTTTTTTTTGATATAGGCAAAATAAATTAGAAGAATACATTCCATATGAATGATTTATTCCAACCTATTCAAAAGAAAACCATTTTCAATGAATAGAAATAATTGAAATTCCATGAGAAAATTTTTATAGTTTCAGGGACTTTTAAATTCTCACAATAAAGGACATGGTATGATAAATGACATACACTAATAGCAAGTATAACTCTTCATCATTTCATTTAACTTCGCACAATAATATATAAAATGTATTTCAAAATATTATTATCTTTTTTTGTTATTTATAAAAACTCTCTAAATTTGGAAAGAAAATAAATAGATAAAAACTACAGCAATGTTCTTAGAGTGCTGGGATAAGTTATTTTTATCGACACATAAAATAATTAAAAATGCAAATGTTTTCATAAAAATATGGATGTCTTATAATGATAAAGATAAAACAATTTGATCAAAAGTTCAAAATAAAAAAAGTTTAAATAAAAATGTCAGAAATATTTGTAATTGGTATTTAAAGAGGCTACCTTTATCAGTTAGCCTTAAGTCTGCATTGTCAGGCCTTAGGTAAAGTCTGAATTCAGCTCTACTTGTGAACATACGGTAGGGCTCAGAAACTCCAAGAGTTGTGAGGTCATCAATCATAACGCCAATATAGCTTTCAGTCCTGCTCAGCACAAAAGGATCTTTTTCTTGAACTTTGCAGGCAGCATTAATCCCTGCAATAATACCCTAAGATAAAGAAAAGAAAAATAATGAAACAAATTACATATAAAAGGTAATTGAAATACAAGGTGAGGCTATTAATTTACAGGACTGATTTAACAACACCTGAAAATAATATGGGAGTTACACACCCATTTAACATATTTCAAATTAGCCTTTTGTACTAGGATGTAAACATTTCAGAAACAATACTTAAAGTCCTCTATCAGAATAATCTTTAATTCTGATGTTATGGCTTTGTGAAAGACCTTGCCATCCTCAACCCTAGTTCTTGGATCAAAACTTTTTGATTAAAGACTGGAGAGGAATTATTCATCATACTCTTTTGACAAATCCTTTGCAGACTTTGTTTTTGAGATAAAAAAAAATGCTAAATACCAAGGTTTAAGGATGTCGAAGACATTAAGAATGGCAGAATTGAAGAGGACTTTAAAAGTTGTTTTCTGATGCACAGAAGTACATGATGGCAGATGGAGGTTACTTTGAAACCTATCAACTGGGAATTGAATTAACATAATATTGTTAAGAGCTATTAGATCAATCGTAGAAATTAAAGCCACACCTCACAATTAAAGAAATATTTTTTTAAAGAAAGAGAGGTACTTTTTTAAATCAAAAGATATGGATCTTTTATCAATTCTTAAAAAAATAGAACAAAAATGTTCTTTTATACATAAAAAAAATTATACCCTATGAACCTGAGTGAAAAGTGGAGAAAATTCTAAACCAAAGAAATCCATGTTGATAACAGATATTTTCATAAAATAAATATTTATCATTAGTAGAAATTAAAAATTTAAATAATGGATAAAATAAGCATTGGAAAAAGTAAAGCATTGACTCAACAACCCATTGTTCCATAACTTCAAAAAGTTCAGCATGGCTAACATTGCCCACAAGCTGGTATCTATTGATTTGAAGCAGAGTAGACATTAAGCTTCCATGGAGGATTCAAACCCAGTTCTTCAGTATAAGTTCCCAATGATAACTGATTGCCTAAGTAAGCAGAAAAATTGCAAGTTGTATATCCGCAACTTCCAGTTAAATCATTTGAATTTTTGAAGCCCAGGCAAGGCAAATTCGTATTTATATTATTAACCACATTGCATTAGCATTGAAAAACATGGAAGAGAAAACATGGCAAGAAAACAGCGGAGTAAAAAGTGCAGAAATTCTAGATAATTATTTAGAGGCATAACTAGAAATACATGATGATAACATATATTTTAATAAAATAATTATTTTAAGTTATAAAATAAAAATTTCATAATTAAAGACAAAAATATATATGCAATATAACATTTTATAGTATTTAAAAATTAAATGAAATATTTAATAAAAATAATGATGAACTTTATATTAAAAATAAAAAATATATTTGAACTTAGTAGACATTTTCCTATAATCCCACTATGGAATAACATTTTATTATTGCATTATTTAAGAACAGGGGTTATCAATAAAAAATTATTAGGAAGATTTTAAAATATTTTTGATTCTCTAAAATTTAAAAATAATTATGAGAAAGCTACTGTTCTGTGATTAAGGATGTCAATTAATTCACATTACCTGAGCAGCTGCTTCTTCATATCCTGTGGTCCCATTTATTTGACCAGCTAAGAATAAGTTTTCAATTTTATAAGTTTCAAGAGAAGGCTTCAGCTGCCTTGGATCAATAAAGTCATAATGAACGCCATATCCTAAAAATTACAATAAATATTGATTTAAAGAAATAGAACAAAGATAAATGTTAATCTCTTTAAAAATTTATTATATATTTATAAATTATTTTATATTTATAAATATTAAATTATTATGATAGATTGATTTTAAAAAAATGTTAGTTTTTCTCTGTTACAGGATGGGTACTTTTCCGCGTGTTATTGGTAAGAAAATAAATAGCAATTAAATTTCTGTTTAAATAATGATGATTAAATAAGGAATTATAAATGAATAGTAAATTATAATAATATTAATTTATAATAATATTAAATTATGATATATTGATATTAAAAATGTTAGCTTTTCTCTGTTATATGATGGTTACATTTGATACTGAAATTTTTTCTCTTGTTATTGGTCATAAAATAAGTAACAATTAAATTTCAGTTAAAATAATGATGATTAAATAAGGAATTACAAAAGAACTAAGGTTATCACAGTTTTCTAAAATTTTCCTTTCATATCTTCTGATTGTTGAAGTGTGGAATTGTTAGTCAGCTACATTAGAAACGATAGCCTTCAATTTCATAGTATGAGGCACCAATTATGCTAAAACTTTTTTTACTAAAAAAGTGTTAAGATTATAAAGTGAAATATGTTAAAATTTTATAACCAGGTTCTGCTTCTCCAAATCGTATCCCAACTCTCTAGCCTCACAACAACTCTGGTATTGAAATATTTATTCTCTTCATTTTATTGTGAATATTATTCTTTCATATTATTTATTCCAACACACTTGAGTGCTGAATCCCACTGATTGCAAAGTTGCAATAACACAAAACCTGGATGCAACTATGCCGGGTTAAGTAAAAAGTAACAAAAATTATGATCGGAACAAAATTAAATAGAGCTACATATTAAAGTTATCTTTCAAAATACAATTCCCAAAATAATGGTGTGATTGATAGATTTATAAATATGTGCAAAAATTCGTGTACAGACTTACATAATTTCCTTAAAAATATCAAACAAAAAGCACTTAAATACCTATAACGTAACAAATATGAAGTATTACCTGGACGCACCATAGTCACATTACGGAGGCCTGGCAAAAATCTTAACATTATTTGTTGCAAATTGGCTGGAAGAGTACATGTTAGCCCTTGAGGATAAACAAGATCTGAATTTAAACCTAAACTTATAAAAGAAAAAAATTAGATTGATTATTCAGAAAAATTATAGAATAAATAATAAACACACTTTCTACTCAGTTGACAATTAATACAATGGATATGTTTTAGGCATAAATAAAATTTGTAAAACTATAAACTCTGAAATTGGGTATGATTTTCTGCTTGAGAAAATATCTGGTTATTTTCTCAAACAGAAAATCAGTAATTAACAAAGAAACTGTGGTTGATGAGACAATCCTTGTACAGATTCGTATCATTGGTGAAATAGTTAAGCAGATAATTAGATTTGTTGATGATGCAGTACAGCGGATCAACCAAAGCAGTCAAAGTAGCATGCATATGGACAAACTTTGAATGCCCTTACAGTTTATATTATATCCATTTGAAAATAAAATTAATATCTCTCCATTTGAAAATAAAATTCATTACTAAAGAATGATTATTCTAGTCTTTAGAATTAATCAAGAAAACCACAAATATTTCTGATGGAACTGATGTTCATTAAAAGCTCAAACAAACACTGCAATAATAATTTAAATATTGATTACAGAAATGAAAGATATGATTGTTTTAATATCATATTTAAGAACAATAAAAACCACTTACAGGATAACAAGTAGCAACAACTGCTCAAAAAAGTGACACATAAAACAAAATATCAAATTATTTTTATGAATTATCGTAATTCCAGTGTGTCAAAAAGTAATTCTTTAAATTTGTATCCTAAAAATGCATTGCAATGTAGTATCAAAAATGTAATGAATAGACAAAACTACATAGATTTGCTGAGAGATATACCGTTAATTAAATGTATAATCCATGTTGCTTAGAAATGCACTGTAATATTTTGTTAACAAATGATTTGTTTTTCTAAACATAAATTAAAAATTGCATAGTTGGTAAATTTTTAAAGTATATTGTATCTCATAATATAGTAGAGTTTGAAAACTACAAAGAAATGCAAAGTAATAAAGTGACAGAAATACAATAGACAAAACTCCTCTCAGTTTGATGGATTCAGTGGAAATATTGCTCCAATAGTGGAAATATTGCTTGAAGTTCAAAATTGCTCCATTGTGGATGTAATAGTGTACAAATCACATAGATAGAAAATTTGATCAAAAGGAAAAAAAAATTGAGTGAGTTTATATTCAGAAATTAAATAAAGAAAAATTATTTTAAATTTTAATAAAAATTTGAACTTTGTAGTTAATTATTTAAATTTGCTTAACTCAACTTTAGAAAATGTCTAGATTTTTAAATCTTAAAATGCAATGTCGTTTTTTTATAGTGTTTTTAATCACATTAAATTTAAGAAAAGATGATGGAAAGATTTAAAAGATGACAGAGTTATTTACTTTGAATCTCTACTTATTGTTAAAACTATTTCTAAATGTCATTATTTTTTAGGTTTTGGCAAAAATAAATTTCTTAAATTTTCAAAAATCAAATTTCTTAATAATTCTAGTTTCTAATAGATTGTTCAATGATATTTTACAGACAATAAACTAGCCACAAAACTAATAGTGATTAGTAAAATTAACAAAATGTTAATTACAAATTTTAAAAAATAGTACTTATGTTATAAACCTTCAGGTTCCAGCCAAACTTGATGAGGATGACCACCAAACCTTAGCACTTTTGATTCAATTGATGGGCAATACCTACAATTATAATTTTACACAATTTTTATAATTTTAAAAATAATTGTTTAGTAATTTAAACATAACATAGCCATACATTATAACGCGACATGAAATTAATCAATGAATGACACAATATTACCAACAGAAAATTTTCTATGTCTGCTTGGAAGTTTGGGTATTCATTTTCACGACTTTATGTTACTGTATTTGCTTATCTGATTTAGAATTAAAATTTTCAAATTTTTAGCAAACTCACAAAGGCAATGAGTGAGAAATAAGCATTGGTGGTAGAAAAATTTTGAACTATATAATATAATTTAGACACCTTTCAACATAAATCAAAAACTTTTGAACTGTTTTTGTAATGACATTATAATGAATTCTATGGTTTCTTTTGATAACAATTTTAGAAAGCTTTGCATTGAAAGTATGCTAAAAGAAATGCATCTGAGTATGCAAGTTAAGTTAAATTAATAACTTAATGGGCAGATTTCCGTATCGTGATCTGTGGCAGAATAATCGCCAAGTCTTGGAAACTTCTGGGCAGTGGCCCGCGAGAAACTAAAAAAAACATCAAAACGAACTCGAAAGGTATAACTCGTACCCACTCCCAGGCAAACATCTATATGTTGTTTTTTTTTTTTAAATTTTGCACGTTTAAAATCTATTTGGCACCTTGGCGATTGTAGTTGGCGCTACAGATAACAATACGGAAATATCCCCAACTTAACTCAAAATAAAAAGAAGATGGTTTTAACTTTAAAAAAAAAATAATAATTTGATTAAAATGATCAAATATAAAATTTAGGCAAGTAGTCATAATGTACATATAATAAAATAAAAATTAAAACAAAATTATAATAATAATTAAATTGTTTTTAAGGAAATAAATTATACAAGCCAAATTATGATTTAATAACACATTTTTCAGTTAGCTTATATTTAGAACAAGTTTTAAAAATTAATACTTGAATTTTTCTTAGAAATTTTAACAAATAATTCATTAAAATTTTAAATTTTAATAAGTTATAAACACGAGTCTCAAGTAACATATAATTACATTTTCCCCTTCAAGTACCTTAACCAGAATTTTTAAAAACAATAAATAATTTAATACACATCAAAATTTTTTCTAAAAACAAATATGTATACACACCTCGGGCCTTGTACTTCTTCTATGACATGTTTGTTCAAATGTTGATTTTCTAAAATTATTTCATTTACTTGAGAGTTAGTAAAAGTCAAATAAGTAAGAAGTTGGTCTTCAGGCTATAAAAAAGGAGGATATTAGCTTCAATTTGCATTAAGTTTTTGATGTAAGCATTTAGAAACTTACAATTTTATTAAAATATTACATTAAGATATAACCTAGTCAATCTTTGTCTTATTAACATACAAATAAAAAATTTTTTAAACATAAAATTAATATTTTACTATTTTTTAAATTAAAACTGAAGGGATAAGAAATTTGTTAACTGTCATTTGAAGCAAAAGTATAATTAGGAGTAAAAATATAAAAAAAAATTTCAGTAAGACAAAGATCTTTTTAGCTTTCATATTTATTCTCTCTTTCTTTCTCTCTCTCTCTCTCTATATATATATATATACACACATATATATATATATATATAAATTTCTTCTGACTGCTATCTTCTGCTTCTGGATTGATTTAAAAAAAAATATTTTGTAAAGCAAAAGAAGAAACCGATTTCTTGCTTCCTTTATAAAACAAATGCAAATTCTATAAATAACATACATTTTTTTCACAAAGAGAGCAATATAATTCTTATCCTCAGTTTTTCTATGGTATTGTAACTGTAGGTATATATTTTATGTAGAAACAAAATTATTCAACTGAAATACAATTGTTTTACATAGAAATATAATTGCTACATATAGGAATACAATTGTTTTCTGCAGAAATATAATTCTTATCTGAGGATATAATTAATTATTTTGTTAAAATATATGATTTTTATTTTTTATATTGTAATCTAATCTTTCAAATTATTTCATAAACAAAATAATTTACATAGTTTCCTTATAAAATGATTTGATTTCATACAATTCAATTTATATTGAACAAAAACTTTCCACACATGCTTTTGCACAATTTTTAATAAAACAAGAAAAACTAAAAATTCATTAAAAAAAAATTATTTCTTCTTAAAAAAAGCACATTTCTTTCAATTTTTAAAAGATTTTGTATGAATAATTCTATTTGATAACTATTAGAGCAGGTACTGTTGAATTCAGTTAGAGATAATATGTAAGAAGTTATTGAGGGGAGTAAATAAGGTAATAAATGATCATCTAACCCACAAGTTAAGTGATATGACCCAAGTTGAGACTCACAGTTTAAAACACTGTACACTAATAAACACATAGAATAACGGTATAAATATTCTGATGATTTAGAAAATTCAGAGCATTTACTTTTATCCACACTTTGGTATTCATATAGGAGAAAGGAACTGGAGGATTATCAGGAGCAGTTGACTGAACTTCTGAAAAATCAATTGTTGTTGCTTTAAGTCTGGGAGGTGTTCCTAAAAAATAAAAGGAAAAATTAATGAAATATTAAACCAATAATATTAAATAAATGGTAAAGGAGTTGCAAGCAGCTGTACAGTGATAACAAATAATAATATTATTAAGTATTCAAATTAGAGAAAAAAATATTAAATATTCAAATTAATGAAATCAAATAATGTTACAATGAAACCTGATTAACAGAACAAAGGTTTTACAAAGATTCAAAGTTTTTTTTTTTTTAAATTTCCCCAGGATTAAATTAATTCTTCCCTGAAGCACAAAAAGACCCTTGATGCAAAATTGCAGTTTTTATAAAGATATAAAGAAATTCTCACCAATTTTCATTAAAAAACTAATTGATAAACACTATACTTTTGTAGAGAATTTTAGTCGGGCCCTAGCACAGATGTCCCTGTTATCCCTTGACTACTTCCTTGTGTAAGTGTCTTAGAAATTAGTATTTAATAGAATTCAATAGCATAGATAAACATATGTAATTAAGCATTTTTTACCATGATTTTAAAATTTCATTCAGAAAATATCTCGTGTATTTTAAGAAATGATAATTTATTGCCATAATGAAGTAAAATCTGTTGCATAAATTTAACTATAAACTGATTAGTTTAAAAAACAAATAAATATACATTGTTAGTGATGCAAGCCAAATTATTTATGACTAATATTTTGTTTAAGACTATCAACAATTTATGAACTAAGTATTTCATTCATTTTTACATTTTAAAATTTATTTTACACAAAATTATTTCACACCATTTTATGGGAAAGGTTAATTCAAATATACTCTCATATGATCAACTCAGAAAGAGGTTTATATTAGTTCTTATTGCTATTTTTAAAAGTTATTGAAGCTGTAATATAAAACAAAAAATAAATAAGCAGAGAATTTGATCAACTTATGAGGGATTTTGAATGGTAGTAAGTAACAATTCTAGACAAATTTTATTTTATTTAATGGTCAACATACAAAATTAATGGGTAGTCAGGTTACAAATGTTTTGCCTCCTTTTATTTTAAAGGACAAATTTCGTTCTTTGTAATAGGGGTTCATTTAGGTTCAGTTTCACTTCATTCAAGTTTAAGTTTTCTGGTTAAGTTCTAATTAATATTATTTACATAAGCAAAGTCAAGGTGGTAAATACTGAAAAAAAAAACGTTTTTTAAATGTATTATTCTTTTTATGCTATAATTAGAAGTAAAGGATATTAAAGCTAAATAGTAGATACATAAAATTTGTATAAACAAATACAATATAGATAAACTATGAAAGTCGACATGCATAAATAAAACCATAACAAAATATAATGCTTTCAAATTTGTACTTTCAACCTGCATAAAAAGTACATGAACTATTGCGTCAAGTTTGAAATTAAAAAAGAAAGTAAATAATATAAATGTACAATAAAATTTTAAATAGCAAAACACTTAAATTATAAAAACAGACACAGGATTTTAAAAAGGGTAAATCAATTTTATTTAATTATTATGTGATGATGGAATTGGAGAGAGTGACACAAAATCAGTGTGCTCCTCAATAAAAGTTAGGGAAAATCTTGCAAAAAAAATCCGTAAAATGTCTCGTTTTTTAAAATTTCAGTAACTCGGGAAAATTCAGTAACTGTAATTGGTTTATTATATAGGTTGCACGATTCCCACAAAGAGCAAAGGGAAAAATGTATTACTTTTAATTAATGCATACTTGAACCAAAAATTGATTAGAAGATGCGAATTTAAATGTGTCAGAAAGGGTTTTGTTTTGAATAATAAATTAAGAAAAGGATTTACAGAAAAGGAATAACATAAAAAAGATTAATTGAAGCTTTTTATGTTAATATATATAGAATCATATATCAGTTCAGAATGGGTATAAGTGTCAGCTTTTGAATATCACTTGAATGTTGGGCACCCCTGAGTTAAACTATAGTAAGATATGTTATAAATTTTATATGCCAATATATAACAAACTATGAAAGAACAACAGTTTAAAAGACAGCAATATGATGATAATACCATTTTAAAGAATATTTTTAATGTGTCAATATATATTTTTGTGATTCTTCCAATATTTAGAACTAGGGCACAGAGAAAAATATACAAACAAATAATTAGCTACAATATCATGTAAATAAATAAAGTATTAATGCCACAAAAAAATGTATCCTGGCAGAACTAAAACAAAATTTTAGAAAATATTGAAAATAGGTGCATGGTTACAGCTTCTTACCAGTTTTTAATCTACCTAACTTAAAACCGGCCTTTTCTAAAGTAAGAGCCAAGCCAATGGCTGGTTCATCATCCATACGACCAGCAGGCCTACTTTCTAACCCAATGTTAATGCTCGCTCTTAAAAATGTTCCAGTAGTTATGATTACAGTTCTACTAAAAATTTCTTTACCATTGCCTGAAATATAAAATACAGTTTTTATTGCTTATTTTACTGACAATAAGTTAAAACAATTAAAGTTTAAATTTAAAATTTTCTCAAAATATGTTCAGGCAATTAATGCTTAGAAATTATTTGCAAAATTAAAATAAATGAAATATTAATAATCATGAGAATTACTATTATGCAAAAGATTAATTAGTAACTAAAATGGTCAATATGAAACTAATGAAAAAGTATAACATGTTGTAAAAAATAAAAGTAAACAAAAGTAAAATAATGAGAAATGAGAAAATGCAAATTAAAATAGATTATTATTAATAATATAAACATTTCTAACTGAAGATAATATCCCTAATACATTTTACAGCATTTCAATAATTTACATTAGCAAATAAACAGAAATATAAAGCACAGATTTTTTTTTTTTATAATATATCTAATTTTACAAGTCATGAAAACTACCAAATAACCTTAAGAAATTCTTATTCTGTAAAATTTACCCAATTTCACTCCCTTGCAAATTAAAAATTTTTTCTCCTTTTCACTTTTTTCTTTAAGAACTAAATCTTCTACAGTGCCACTCATAATATTCAAATTTTCGGTTCTTTTGAGCTCCTCTTGCAAAAACTTTTTATATAATGAGCGATCTATCTGAGCTCTTGGTCCCTTAGGAAGAGAAAGATTTATATTAGATAAAAAAGGACATTAACAAAACTTAAATTTAAAATAAACTATTATGATGAGTAAATGTAAGCTAGAATGATATAGAAAAAATAAAATTTTAAAGTGTGAATAATAATAAATGAAAAATAAAAGAAACTCTCACCCATACAGCAGGTCCTTTGGCTTTATTAAGCATTTTATAATGAATTCCACTCTTATCTATATAAAGAACAATAAATATAAAATATCATTACAATTTGTTAAAATAACATTCTAACAAGAACAGGCAGTGAGTGAAAAAAAAAATACAAAGCACATAAATATTAATAAAGAAATAATATACTTTAAAAAATGATAAAAAAAATATTCACAACAATCTTTTCAAGCGTTCAGGTTGATATTGCCTGATCTATAAAAAATAAATAAATAATAATAATAAAAAAAAATTTGTGTTTTAAACACAAATTTTTTCCCCTCAAGTGTAATTATTATGTGCAATGTGTAGTGCTTAATGTACAGACATAAAATGTTTCATTATGATGCTCCATATGTAAAAGAAGTATGAAATGACACACGATATGTTATCACTATCATCTTCAACGATTATCAGTCTACAGCTAGATGGTGTTCAGCAAAAAATTTGATCTGCTGTTCTGCAAGTACCATTCTGCTATGAATTACAGATGCAAGTTTGCAACAGGTAAAAAAATTAAAATTTGCAGGGGATTTTGAAAGTTTTGCAATAACACAAATACTCTGAAAGACATGGACATGTTACAAATGATAAAATGAAAGTATATAAAAAATTTTAAAACATTTTTCGCTTTTAATCTATTGCAATACTAAGACTTTTATTCCAATGAACAGATTTTTGACACAAAGTATTATACTTTGTTTCATAACTCCTAATATTTCAAAATTTATCAAATATTCATTAGTTTCCACTTTAGGGGGGCATGGTACCTAATTAATTTATCATCCAAGCCAGGCTAATTTGTCAGGATTTAGATAACCTCTGACCTACTGTCTTGCCCTTTTTCTAAAGATCTATTCTCCTAAATGTCTCATCAATCATACAGAATGTATTTCGAAACTTCAAAAAAGTGCTAATTACTATTAAAATGTAAGTTAATAATAAAAAACTGAAACTGTAAACAACTATTGTGCAAATCATATGATTTTGGATTCACAGATTTGAGAAAAAACAAAAATAATTCTGCCACAATGATCTTACAACCCTAATTATATAGAATCACGATTCAAAAATTCCAAAGAATGTCTGTGTTTAAAAATAAAAAGACCACAACAGTTTTCTACCTATTTATGTTATTTACAGATTCATGCTAAAGGACAAAGGTAACAAACCACAAATTCGTCCACAAACACCATCAAGTGCATCAATTTCTTTCATTAGATGTCCTTTTCCGATTCCTCCGAATGATGGATTACATGACATTTCTCCTAAAAAAAAAGAGAAATAAAAAAGCAGTTAATGTATTTTAAGGGAACTACAATAAATCCAACATGTGAGACCTGGACAATGACCCGTGGAGATGAAAATATGATAGCTAGTTTTGAGAGAAAAATACTGCGAAGCATTTTTGGTGGAATAAGTAAAAACGGTACCTGGTTTAGAAGATCAAATACGGAACTCTACAAAGCATATAAAGAACCTGATGTCATTAAATTTATCAAAATTCAAAGGATTAAATGGGCAGGCCACATTATAAGAATGGAGGATAGCAGGACAACCAAAAAAGTTTTCTGTGCCAGGCCAACAGGTACAAGAAAAAGAGGACGACCAAACCTAAGATTTTTAGACTGCCTTGAAAAGGACCTACAAATTTTAAAGATAGTTAACTGGAGAACCTTGGCTAAGGGAAGAATGTCTTGGTATAGGCTTGTTGAGAAGGCCAAGGCCCATCCTGGGCTGTCATGCCAATGAGAAGAAGAAGAACAATAAATCCAACACTTTCAATAGGTAAGATAAAGCAAAAAATGCATAGTACATAATATTTTATTATAACGTGTACACTTTGGGCCAATCAGGAAAGAAAGTTGCGAATTTCTCACAATTAAAAATTATTCAATAAAAAAAGAGTGTGTCTGAAGCCTTTAATGAAGAAATATAACAAAATAGAGTAGTTCTTTTTAAAATGAAATTGATCAATAAAGTTAGATTAAAAGTAGATATAAACTAGTGTATTGAAGAGTCACAATGATTACATTAGAAATATTATAATAAAAAATTTCACTTCATTTCTGAATCTAGTCATTCATTATTAGACTATGAAGAATAGTTTTCTTTTTAAATTAAATATGTAAATTGACTGATCACAATACAGAAAAAATCTCATCTTAGGTTCCCGCCTTTTAAGGTTATTTTTTTCACTTTTCAGAATAAAGTTATTACTTAATGCTTGTAGAAAAAAGTATTACGTACCAATTGTTTCTAACTTTTGAGTGAGAAGAAGAGTTTTACACCCCATACGTGATGCTGCTGCGGCTGCTTCAGTTCCCGCATGCCCTCCACCCACAATTATCACATCATAATTAGAATTCCCTGAGCTTGAAAAATATGAAGAAATGTTGAAATATTTTAAAAATCTTCGCCGACAGCAATAGCTGAGACGGCGGAAATCCATAGCCTTAACACAGCGTTATAGTCAGTAAAAAAAATTAATGCACAAAATCCAGTTTATACAACAAAAATTCGAGATATAAACTAGATTTGTCACTAATTGTATATAGTCCTAGATAGAAATTAGAACTTAATTTATGTTATGATCAGACTCTGATTAAGATCTTGCATAGATTGATGTTGATATTTGATTGATTGATGATCGAGGACCACTTGTTGTAAAGCTGGTGTAAATCATGAGTGATCCAAAAGTGAAAACAGTCTTCAAAGGGTTATTTACACTGAAATCATTTGCCTTCATGCGCATGCCCTTGTTGTTCTTGCTGCTTTGATCCAAGAGTGACCATTCTTGCTGCTTGTGAATCTGAAGGCAAAATAATTGGGGGGAAATCGTATGCAGTGAGGGTGATCCTTAAAATAATAATGAATATGCTCACACAAACACACACAGAAAAATAAATAAATAAAAGCGAGTATTTTAAAAAACTAATGAGTGAATTTTCGCATACCTGAACTCAATTTAATGGATTCGATTAATACGATAAATAATGTTATGAAATCATATGCAAAAACAAGCTTTCTTTGAATCGACGGATTTTTATTTTCGACCCTCAAAAATCATGGGAAAACATCGATATTTAGGAAATATGGTCCGAATGGTTTAGGCAGTAAGCTGTCAAAAACTTTTGAATTATTAATTACACAAATTTTTCATCAATTTTTTTTTAATTCTTGAGAAATAAAAATTTAAATATACGACTTCTTTGAGATGGTGAAATGCGCAAAAAGTGAAGTTGACAAAGAGTCCAAAGTCTAAATACTTAGAAGAGTTAAGAGTCCGTTTTTAAGAAAGACCGCAATCCGTTTTTAATAAGCAAAAAATTTTATTAATGAAATAATTTTACTTGTGCTTTTTATATTTTTGTATGTGTACCGTGCGTACAACTATTACTTATTTCAATGAAAAAAAAAGCAAAGTTTTATATTTAAAAGCATTTTTAAAATAATCAAATCTTTCTATGGATGGCTGAACTGAAAAGATGTAATTTTTCTGCCTTTTTAAAAATTTCATTTGCATATTATTTATATTTTGAATACAAACAAATTAAATGATAAAATGACTTAAAAAAATTATAAAACAACACAACAACGTTTCGATGGGTTAGCCCGAAAAAATAATTCGACGTTAGCCCATCACGCGATCGGTTTGTTTATAAATTGAAATCCTTACAACTCTGTATCGCAAGGTCTGATTTCAAAAATTTTTTGCATATGAAACAGAAATGTAGAAATATTTTAAAAATATGAAAAATCGAAATTTTGAAGGATTTTCCTCATTTTAAACGTCCAGTGTCCCCTTAAAAACAGCAGATGAAAAGTAGGGGAATTATTATTGTGATTCGAAAAAACCAACGACATTTCATCATTTTGTACTGTTGTTTCTTAAGCAACTTGCCAATGCCAGCAAGTCTGTTTAGGAAAATCAAGAGAATTTAAGGCAGAAGGTGCGTTTCTTATTTTTCAGTGGTGCCGTCTATGGCCAAGAACATGACTTTAGCCACTCACACCCCGTTTATAGAGTGGACCCATTCATACATCCATTGACAGATCGTAATTTTTATCTGGACCGGAGAACGATCAGTCTAGCATTTAGTACCTTCAGAAGTATGTTATGTTATAGGAACATGGAGGGCTTTGTTACCCAACAGATTCAACGTGCACCAGTCACCATTTACTATACGAGTAAGTTTTCGGCCGGTGGGGATCAAACCTACGACCTCTTGGACATGGGCCCTACCCACCAGGAGATCCCGGCCATTATTTTGTACTATTAAACAATATTAGTTAAAAATGACACTAGTATTAAGCGGATCATCGCCCATAAAAATATGTTTTCTTTCCCTATACCATCACATTTTTGTGTACGAAGGATTACTGTAAGATATTATCATTTGTTATTAAATATTGTCTAAAGTTACAAATTGAGATTTGCGGTAACACCCTTACCAATTAGATTTTTCTTTCAAAATTTTCAAGAACTATTTAGAAAATTACTAGAAGCTTTTTTAATTTTAAAAACATTCAAATCGAACTTTTTAAATAGTTAAAAAGTACGATTCATTAAAAGTTTTAAATTTAATTCAAAAAATGTTTCCCACGCATTCGCAGTATGAATAAACTACTTTAAGTGCTCATATCTTGCGTATTTAATAATAAAAAAAAATTCTAACTTTAAAACGATAATTTTGTTATTAATTCAAAAGTGTTCCATCTTTTCTTAAATTTTATTAAATATTTTTTAAATCCTAAATCAGATCTTTCTTTCAAAAACTACTTCGAAAATTACTTGAAGCTTTTTTAATTTTCAAAACATTCAAATCGAACTCTTTTCAATAATTAAGAAGTACAATTCACCAAAAAGTTATGATTTTTTTAAAAAAATGTTTCTCGCGCATTCGCAGTATGCATAAACTACTTTAAGTGCTCATATCTTGTGCATTTATAAAATTTTTTTTTTAATTATTTCTTTGTAATGGCAATTTTGTTATTAATTCAAAAGTGCTCCATTTTTTTAAAAAAAAATTAAATATTTTTGAAATTCAACATTCTACAACCTATGAGCAATTCGTTTTTTTTCTTAATACTACAATTTTAAAAATAACTAAAATAAAAGTCCTGATGGAAATTTTTTTTGACTCAAAATTTCAGGAATGTCAATAAACTATAAAAAAGTACTAAGCTTCAGGAATTAAAAACGAGAAAATATTACGAGTGTAATTACTACAATATTATGATAGCTGCCGTTTATTTATTTTTTTGGTATTTAGATATTTCTTCGTAGTTGTAACGATAAAAAGTGATTTCACGATTGTAAGAATGAGTATTTTTAACTGTACAAATATTTAATAGTTTTAAATCTATACCGTCCTTAAAAAACTTCCAACGCTTTTTGAGAAAATTTCTTCTGATCGTAGCTAAGTTCATGTTTAAATGTCTTTGCTTTGTTAATTTGAGTTAAATTTATTTTTCACACCACTGCATGTTACTAGTTCGAAATTTTATACGAATACCATTTTATTCGAGCCCTCTTTAAATGTTAACAAAATAACAAGAAATTCTGAAAGCTTTAGTTTTTGATTGTCTACGGCTCTTTAAAATATTTCTTGAAAAGCGTAGTAATTTGCAGCATGGAGAATATTGTTAGGGCTTTTATGTATTTATTAGAATTATTTATATCTAGTGGCGGTCAAAGTCATTATAAATCAACAAGATATAAATATTTATATATTTTTTTTACCACTTAAGAAATAAAAAGAAAATCTTTAGTGAAAATGAAGAGATTTGGCAGCTAAGTATTACACTGGGGAACACATTTCTTGTTGTATTTATTCAACTACTTGTTCTTACCTTGTTCGGAAAGCAACAGATTTCTTTTTCTTTCTTTCAAATATTCTCAGTTCAGTTTATTCCTTTGTCTGAATGTTCTAGTTCAGAGGTTACCAACTGGCGGCCCACGAAGTCTTTTTTTGTGGCCTGTGAACTGAAATACATTATTTGTTGTTTTCTAGCGAACAATTTTAGTAAAAAATCTATATGGTCGTAAAATACTTTTCTTTCGTTTAAAAAAACCTAATTTCTTCGTTTCCGTAAAATTTAACATACCAACGGCGCAAAAAAATTTCTTTCTCAGATTTTGCATCCTGGAAAATATTTATTCAAATCTAAAAATAATCGTGTATGTTGCTCTATTTTTTTTTTTTTTTGTATTTTGTGAATATAATTTAGCATGTGTGCATCCGAAATTTTCTCGAAGAAATTCCCCCAATTTAACTTTTTCAAACCACTCAAATTATTTACATTTTTAAATTTTTTAGAACGCATAAAATAGGGAGCGAATATCATGTTTTATTTAAATTTCTTGAATATGAGCGGAAAAGAAAAAAAAATTAATTTCAGATGCTCGAGAAATTTTTTTTGGGTTGCTATAATTCCTAATAAGTCGGAAAAAATGTTAATTTATCACAGAATTAAATTTAAAAGAAAAAAAAAATCTTGTCACCAAGTTTCTGACTAAGAGATGATAAAATGATACCTCTAACAAGCATTATTTGTAATGTTTGTTATTTTTTTTTACATTAAAAAAACCTTGATAAAAATATGACAGTAATATTTAATGTTATTTCAAACATAAATGAGTCCTATATAAAATTTTGATAAAGTTGCCATTTGACTGGTGTTTTTAATTGCGGCCCCGGCCATTAAATTGGAAACCCCTGTTCTAGTTCATAAAGAACGTATAGTTTTATATACATACATTTGCCTACTCCTTTGAAAATTAACACTTAACACAGAAATATGCGACCTCAACGTATCGCATCATAAACTGAAACCAGGGCAGTAGCGAACGATACATTTTTGGGTTGGCAAAATCACCAGACTCTAATACACTTTAAACCCAACTAAGTTTTCAGTTTAAAAACAAAATCTTTGAGATTTTTCATTTTTTTAACCTTTTATTATTAATTAATATTTTTTTATAATTTATTTCAAACAATATATTACTATTAGTAATAAAAAAATATTTGGTTTGAAACTCCCGGTCCCTTGTAATCACGTAAAAACTTCGAGCAATTTTGCGTAAAACTAATACATCAATAAGTAAATAGTAAAAAATTTTTTTTTATATATTTATTTAAATAAATGCTTTGTGTTTTCAATAAATTAAAAATCAATGTGATCTGAAGAATTAAATTTTAATAGGGCGGGAGAAAGAACAGGTTTCGCAGCCAGGCATGCTCACCGTTCGGCCCCCTGGTCTGCGATGGGGGAAAAAAATGATCAGAAACAAAGTTCGACCGAAAAAAAAATAAATTACCTATTTACCTGTTAACAAACGGACTATTGTTTTTTTTTTTTTTTTTTTTTTTTTTTTTTTTTTTTTTTTTTTTTTTTTTTTTTNGTTTCGCAGCCAGGCATGCTCACCGTTCGGCCACCTGGCCTGCGATGGGGGTAAAAATGATCAGAAACAAAGTTCGACAGAAAAAAAAAATTACCTATTTACCTGTTACCAGGCGGACTATCGTTTTTTTTTTTTTTTTTTTTTTTTTTTTAATTNTTTTTTTCATACAGCTTTGACCGGGAAAAGTGAAAAGAAATTCGTCCGTAGGCAAAATATTTTTTTAATCGGTCTCCCTGCTAATTAAACAAAATTTCAGAAACAAAAGCTGGCTGGAAAAAAAATCAAGAGGTTCATCTGCCTATAGGCCGAATAGAGTATTCCTCCGTAACTTTGGATGGGCAGACTAACTTCTCTGCCCCCTCCCTCGATACGCCTCCGACTGAATTGTATTATCGCCTTCATTCTACCACTCCCTACGTAGCAGAGAAGTGAGGACGCGTAATATTCAATCAAGGGAATTTTTAAAAAAATCCTCCTTAGGAATAAATTATTAAATTGCATGAAAACTGTAGCTTGTAGAGAAAAATTCGAAAATATATGAGATCCGTTGAAAAACCTCACGAAACAAAAAATTCGAGTGTTATTGTTGAATGAAAGTTTGATGCATCGAGCAAAAGCCTACAATTTTTTCTTTTCTATTTGGAGACAGAAATTTGCACTATGTTCGATACGCTGATTTCAAACTTTCGAAGTTTTCTACTATCAACTATCATATGCATTAGGAGATTTGTAATAATTAACTGTATGTTAACAAAAAAAAGTGTTTTCTACATGATATTTTCAAAAAGATTTTGTCAATATTGGCACTTCAAAGTCTTTTCAAATACAGAAATTATTTTTCTTTATTGTTCTAATTTTTGGTTTTATCGTAGCTACGAGCTAATTATACTAGCGATCTCATTGTAAATACGTCTTTTTGTATAATATATGTGACTTTGAACATTCCTCTGCAATAATTATTTATCATATTTAGTTAGATATATGAGCCCGCATGTTTAATTAAATTGTTTTATTAAAAATTATTAAGGTCTTCCGTTTTTTATTTTGCGCATTCTCCCAGTTTCTCTGTATAAAAACACTGAAAAAAGAAAGGACTATCATTCTTAAACACAAATATTTGAGTCTTTGCGATTTTAAAAAAAAAAAAGCAAAACAAACAAACAAAGAATTGCTATAAGTGGGGAGAGATAGCTCGCTGATAGGAAAATTCTCTAGCCAAATTCACAGGAAATTCTCTAAAATTTTTATATTTTCTCTAAAAATATAAATTTTTTTCTGTTTAGGAAAAAAAAAAACCATAAACATGGAGGAAAATACAAAAAACTAAATTGAGAGTTGGACTGTAAATTACAGAGGCATTAAGCTTAGGTTAAGTATAGTTCTTACATTGCAGGAATAACACCATAAAAAACTATATTCACATTGAGAAATATATCAAACAAAAAATTTAGGGGGAAAAATTAAAATTTTTAGATGATTTAGAAAGTTCTAAACATACCCTTAGAAGTTTCGATATTCTTTACCTAATGCGTTACAGAATTGCTAAAAAAACAGGAAAAGGTAACAATTTATTCTAAATTATCACATTCTTTTTTTGTGCTCATACGTAGAAGAAAGGAACATTCATAAACTATCCACTTAGTAAGCTTTCCTCCAATTCATCCATTTTGTATAAACTATTTTGGAATTGTTTGAGAACTATATATGCTCTTATATTCTTCTTGTTTTTCAAAACAAATTAGTTTTGTTCTTCAACATTATGATCACGTGCTCTCAGCTGAGTACCGGAGTTGGGAAGAATGAAAGTTGTTCACACAAAGAGAGGTTTACCTGATTTATAAAAAAAATGTGAACAGTGTTTTTCATTCTACTTCATCAGGGTCGGTAGTAATTACCAGCTTGAATGAGAATCGCAAGTTATAAATAGGATGCTTTTGAAATTCGAAACCAAACTGAAATCGAAGCAGACGAATTTAATGGAAAAAGTCGTTTCTTTCCCGAATTGATTTCTTGTCTCGGATGAAAATGCCTTGGGAGATTCAAGTAGTAACTTCGGTTACTCTTTTGGCTTTTCTTCAAGGTCAGAGGGTATCAGGTTCGAATCTCAATTTTTCCTTTCTACTCTTTTTTTTTTAATTGAAGCTTTTTTATATGAGGATAAAGCTATGAGTTTTATTTTGGTCTTAACAACAGAAATAAAATTCTCGAATGAAAGCCATTTTTTAATAACTACTCTGCAAATTTTTGTTAAAGTAAATTTTAAATCGAACGTCATGACTGTTTATTAACTGGGATGTTTCCACATTGGCACCTTTTAGCGCCAACTACAATTGGCAAAAAACCAAAGAGATTCATAATTTTCAAAATTAAAAAAGAAAAATTGTAGAGAATTTCCCGAGGAGCTAATTTAAAATCCAGCGATCTTTAAAGACTAGTTCTTTTTTTCGGAGATTTTCCTCTTGGTCGTAGTTAGTCGCAATTATAATGTTAACTTTTATTTCTTTTGAAATTTATTGCTTGAACTAAAAAAGAATAAGTTTTTTCCCCCTTCATTTCAGGAAATACCAAACATGAGGACGAGTCGTTAAAGGCGGCGGGATTGGAAAATCGCGATTAGACGGACCTGGGCTCTCGTTTACAGGGGGAAAAAAAACAGTATCTGGTTCATGCGAGCTCGCATTCATACAATTTTTATTAACTTTTTTACAAGTTTTAAACAAATGTTTCGTTCTATTATTAAATATAAAATTTATAAGGTTTAAAAATTTAAACGATCTGCTTCCTTTGTTCGATGCATTTGCTTTGTGAGTGTAATGTTGGAGTTACTGTTGATTTTGCTTTTCTCACAGGTTGGCGATAGAAATTTTTTAATTTTCTAATTCTCTTGTTTAGACACCAAAGGCCGAGTACGAGAATGCAACATTTGGCCTTTTTGCAACGCATATTTTAGACAGACTCGGTCTCCAAGTAACCAACTGTAGCAGAATTCATACCAACCATCCACTGTTGAGATTCAAGCCTGTATCACACCGTTGGGATGCGAACGCTCTATCCCCTAAATCACCATTAGGTTCTCAACTAAATTTTGAAGAAAAGAAATGAAATTATCATTTACTTTTAAAGTTTTCTTAAGTGTTTTATAAATTTTTTTTCTCCTTTTCTCAATTTTAATTTCAGGTGTTAGCCAGGAATCAACCTACGTGATAGAATGCATACGAGATATGATTCCAACACAGGTGAGTTATAAAATTTTTTAGATCACTTTTTATGAAAGGAAAAGATTAAATAATTATGGGAATTTATTAGTCCTTAATGCCTGGGGAAGTAATTCAAGTTTTCTTCCCACCAAACTTAAGCTTTTATTTTCATGCAAAGAAAAACTGTTGAATTTTTATATCAAGTATAAAAAGAAAATATAAATTTTTTTAGAGTAAATTTATTAATATATTATTATTTGTTGATTGTAATTAAAATATTTTTATGAAAAGAAAATATTACATGATGATTGGAATCCTTAATGGTTTAGAAGTATTTCAAGTTTTATTTCCACCTGGATTAAGCTATTTTTTTATGCAAAGAAAAATTTGCATTTTTATATCTAGTATAGAAAAGAAAATATTAATTTCTTTAGGGAAAATTTATTATTTTTTATAATTAAGTAAAAATATTATTTGTCAAATAAGCTATAATTAAATTCCATTGTAAATATGACAACAAAAAGAGAGTTAAAATTAGTCAAATGAGCTTTTTCCTAACATTACGTGAAATTAGATCTTCGCCATCTTGGATTTCGCGTAAAATTTCTAATTTTTGTTTCTCGATATTTTTTTGTATTTAAAATTTTGATGATACAGTATTATTAGACAGTACAATACCTTTCTAAAAAGTAGGAAATAAAGAGTTCGCTTTAGTGGATTAGAACTAATAGCGCTTCATAATTTTTAGATAAAATTTATCTCTAAAGTCTGCGATATGTGATTTTGAATGTCTTTTAAAACCACATAGTTTCTCAGTATTTAGATTTCTTAAAATCTATTTTTATTACAGTTTAAAATGATGAAAAATTCCATTAACCTTAACATTACAAAAAAGATCTAAAAACAGGCAACTGTATGCTATTTAACTACTTGTCAAAAACTGCTGATTGTAGAATTGTATTGACATAATTTTCTCAAAAAATGAAAAAATAAAATAACATCTAAAATTCCGCACTCTTTATATTTTAAATTGTGATTAGGCGGCCTTGTATTCAACAAGTATCGACATGCCGACTTGTATTACATCAAAAAATAGAGTAACTATCCATCATCAGTTTATTTGTAAAAATTAAATAAAGAGTATTAAAAGCATATTTAGAATATCCCCCTCTCTCCTTTCCTTTGACTGTCGAGTTCGATAGGGTAAGGAAGGGCCTCTTAACATATCATGCCACATATTTGGCGACATTAGTCGTTAACGGTTAATGTATTATACAATAATGTAATTGATTGTGACTGAAATAGAATAGTAACAGAAATGAAAAAAATTATAACGATGGACATATTAGAATTTCTTTTAAGAAATTCGAAAAGTTGCTGGTTTACTTGATATTATTGTTGTTGTTCGTAAAGTGACGACTTTTTAACTGATTTCTTTAAAACTTTTAACAGCTATTCATGGAACATATTTAAAAGATTAACTTAATGCGAAATGAACATAACATCTGGAATTATATTAACTAGATTCTTATATTTGTTACATTTATCACTAATCGCTTACTTTTTCATATTAAGTATTTTTTTAATCTTCTAAAATTATTTTAAAGTTATTTAATTCTCTATTCTAAAAAGAAGTATCGCTAGTTAAGACTATCTTCTTTGCAGGTATACAATGAATGTTGCCACCGGGAAAATAATTGCACAATAGTCAGACAGCAAAACAGAGTATGTATTGTTTTCACTCTCTATTATCTATATTTTATTATTCTGAAAATAAATTAACTAGAAACACTTAATGAGAAAAAAAACTAGTCTCAAATATAAAGGATTTAAAACATTTGTTTAAATATGCTATTATAAGCAAAGGAAACTATTATAAGTGTTTCTACTATAATGTTATATGTTTCTAATATAAGCAGAAATCACTGAACGTTTACTTAAAAGGTGAGATGAAGCATCTAGTAATTAATTAAATGCGCAAAAAGGTGAAATGAAGCAATTAGTAATTAATTAAATGCGTGTTTAAAATTCGTATTTCCTACCAAAATATCGGAATTTTTATAATCACGTGGGAATGCATAGCAATAACTTCCAAAAAGATGGTTGAAAAGTAACTTAAAAATAAGGAAACTCAAAAAGTGATGAATTATATGAACGATTAACTCACAAGTCGTATGCATCAGGAAAAATAACATAGAAACAACTTAGCTTTGCTATAGAATCTGTGCAAATTTAGCGTGATAAAAAGTGATGACTCAAATGTGCGGTTCAAAATTTTCCACTAATAAAAAATAGTCCCCTCAAAAAACCATTTATTTTGTGTGTTTAGAACATTACATCAACAGTCAGGGGGGCTGCAGGCAATACACCCCTAATTTAAATCAACAGGACACTTCAGAAATTTCAGTTTATAATAATTAAAATATTATTACAAATAAATCAAAACAATTCATTTCTAGCTATATTATTGCATTAAAAAGTTTTAATACAAGCAAATGTATGATACAAATGGTAGGACTGAAAAACAAGGTAAGAAAAACCACAAATATTTCAACACTATTTTTTCTGTAAAATTTAAAAAAAGTCTTTTTTCAATAACTACAATGAACTTTCGCTTTGTTTCTAGTTTATAATTTGAATAATTCCTAAGAAATATGAGATTTTTAATATGCAATTTCGGAAAATCAAAACTTATCAACAATATATAATAAATGCTTCAAAAATTTTTTAATCAATTATTTCTTTACCAAAACGTGATTAATCGATGAGTAATTATCATTATTATTTTTGAAAAGAAATTAGTAGAATATAAAGAATAAAATATAATAATTTTAAAATATAAAACAATATATTTATAATAAAATATTTATAATAAATTTGAAAATGCTTTGAAAATTTTTAAAAAAATTTTTTCTTTAAAAACACGTGATTAATCAATGAGAAATTATTATTATTTTTGAAAAGAAATTAGTTGAATGTAAAGAATAAAATATGATTTTATAATTCAACAATATATTTATAACAAATTTGAAATGCTTTGAAAAATTTTTAAGCAATTATTTCTTCATAAAAAAAACGTGATTAATCAATGAGTAATTATAATTATTATTTTTGAAAAGAAGTTAGCGATCGCGACTTAAGCAGTTTTTAATCAACGAACTGCAGTTTTTAATTACCTGTTACAACTGTAAATGAAATTTTAGTTTCGTAATTCCTTAATTACTAGAAATTGACAGTTTGATTTATGTTAAAGGAAAAAGTAAAACTTACAAAAATTTATTTGTATTTTGTTATCAAGTTAGTAGACAACTTGGTAAAGATATCAGTTGCTAATTCAACATTTTCTTTGATCCACGGTCTCCAGTTAGGATTGATCAAAATTTTAGCAGCGTTAGATACTATAAAATCAAGCGCATAGGACTTCAAACGCTCGCAGTAAACAGAATCGGCAATGGTGATAATTTCACACGCGTTTTCAACAGACAAAACAGATATCAAATAAGAAACACACTCGTTTACCAACGATGACACTTGGTATTTATCAGCAGCAAACAATAACTTTTTGGCGCTTTCGTATTCCATTATATCCACAGTTTCAGTGTATAGAAATTCGAGAAAGGTTTTCATAGTTTTTCCATCTATATCAGTTACATTGACTATGCCAGTTTCGTTTTCCAACAAGTTTTGATCAAACATAGCTTCGAATACCGGTGATCGCACTCTTAGGACGAGTTTATGGGCAGGAAATTCCTCTTCTTGTACTCGAATAGTTACATCAAAATACTTTTTATTAATGAAGAGACTTCGAAAATCATTCTGCATGGCAGAAATAGGGCAGACCTTAGGTATAGCAATTGCACAAGGACAGGTAAAAGAGGACTCGAGATATAATTTTTGAATACCGTTAAAAGATATTCGTTTCTTTGAGACGTAAATTTCGAACATCAATTTGAATTCTGCTTTAATTGAATCGAGTTTACAAGTTTCTAAAATATCCTTTGTTACGAAATCTGGAAACTTCCATGTCTCCGCATCTTTAAACAAATGTCCAGCACGCTTAGAAGTGATTTTGCATCCTTTTTTATCCCAAAGAGTTATTTTAAAGATTACTGGCTGAGATAAATCAGATTGGTGTTCCTTCAGATGAATTAAAAATTGTAAACCGTCCAACAAAGAAGTCAAAGTGATTTCAAATTTGAATAAATCGTTGATTGGGAAAAACACAGTTTCAGAATGTTCCAATAATAAAGGTGCTGTAATATCCCATTCAAAAAGACGTCGTTCTACATCAAGTAAAGTACAAGCTTCTGTTTTAAATATTCCTTGTTTTTTGAACTTACCGCACTTAATTCTACATTGAAGAGTTAAGACATCTTCTTCCCAACTGTCCATTTCCGTAGTCAATTCATCTATTCTCATAAATCTGGGCTCCCCCCAAGCTGGTGATTCTTCAGAAAACACAATTTTTAATCTGCGACTCTTTAATTTGTTACCCACCATGTCCACTATATCTAAACTGTAATCAATAGGGGGAGTTTCAGTTACTTTTTCATCTGTTTGATGCCATTCTAAATAATACGACACAAAATCATTTTTCTCTAGTTCAGAGCTACCTTTAGGACTAAATGATAGATTCCATTGACATCCAACTAAATTTTCCACACTAAAAAAAGGACTGTCGATATACGCACCTTTTTCTTGATAGCAAGACGAATAATTTTTAATTCTCCAGATAAAAATATATTCACTGTTATCTTCAATCGACATTCTCAGTTGCAAAAACTAACTGAATTAAGAATAATTCTTCGTTATCGTTACACGAGAGAGGGAAATAACTCTTTCCTTCCTTGATAATCAAGTGTTTTCGCGAGTCACGTGACAGTCGAAGTCAACCTTGAACTGTTTCGTTACTGACTTTAAAGATATACCATTATCAAAAATGCTCAATTTTGTTTTCCATTTTTACCAAATACAGAAATAGAACATTAAGAAGAGACTAACCCTTCTATATATCCACGAAGAGTCAAAAGACATCGAATATTTTTCTATTTTTTTTCCCATTCTTATTTTGAACAATGTTCATAATAATTTGTTGAAATTAAATTTAAAAAAAACATTCATTAATAAATTAAATTATTGATTTAGAAAACGCCGAGACTTAATTAAATGAATTTAAATGGACTATTTTAATTATTACTCTTTAAAAATCGGAATTGTGTCGCTATGCGAAATAGAATCCATTAATTTAGTTGTAAGTTAGTTATAGTTACTTAGTTTAAGTAAGTTAGTTGATTTGGGGTCATAAATAAGAAAATTGTATATCGGGTGATCCGATGTCACAGCCCCTAATATTGCATTTTCAGAATCATTGTCAAAAATAAACTAAATAGAGTTTCAAATTACAGCGAAGAAAGAGCCAAAAACATTAGCTAAATTAAATAAATCAGTATTGATGAAAGTGAAATTAAAAACAACAAAATCAGTCAATCTGACTGCTTGATAAAACTTGAAATTTCTTCTAATAATAACATTTCAACAGGTTTTGATCAACAGGCATCAACAGGTTTTGATGTTTTTAATATCTCTTTATGTTGTTAACAGTGGTGTCATGTCAGAGGGGAAGTTGTCATACAACCTAGTATTTTCAAGAAAGAGATTCCTGATTGATTAATTTATTCTGTGAAAAATTTCAAAAATAATTATTATCATGATTCTTTTTGAAGATTGCAATGGCTGAAAATAAGGACATTATAAAAGCGATATCGTAGGAAGGGGAGTTACGACTTTCGCATCCGGACTTTTTCTTGTTAAGGGCCACACTTAATTTGTTTTCATTTTTTTTTATGATACCACAGTCGTTGTACGGACAACCCAATTTTGAATTTAAGTCGACCCATGTTCAACCATATATGGCAGTACTTTTACTTTCGTTACTTTTACCGCCGGTACAAGTAAAAGTAGTAAAAAGTATGTACTTTTACTTGTACTTCGTTACTTTTTAAATTTAGTACTTTTACTTGTACTTTCGTTACTTTTTTAGGGAAAAAGTACAAGTATTTGTAACGGAAATGTCGAATGAAATCGTTACTTTTTTCTAAAACTCTGTAAGCCTTCTATAAAAAAAAAAAAAATTAAGGAAAATGCTTATGTTTTTTTTAATTTATAAATAAATGTGCAATACATACATATATATATATATGCATTCACAGCAAACTTCGTGTTTAAACAACTTGACCTCCCCTGGAGTGCTTATTCAGCGTGGCTAAGCACATTCTGAGAGATTCTCGCAGCAGACTCAGTGACACCACTTTCGAAATGCAATTATTTTGCAAAATGAATAAAAATATTAATTAGCAAGTTATTTTCATTCATTTTCGAGTTTTATGCATTTATTGAATACATTTTAAATAAAAAATGCTGAATTTTTTTATTACGTTTTTCAATTTTCTTTTTGAACTCATTAATAATACATTTTTGTCTTAATACATTTTTTACTAAATACAATTTTTCCTAGTATATTTTTTACTAAAATTATATTTATGCCCGACCTTGTCAAACCACGCCCAGTCAAATCCAAAGAACTTCAGAACTATTTGTGCTATTGAAAACTATTGTAATTACTATTTTAACTCTTGAAAACTCGAAGGTATTAATTTAGCCGCTGATACTAAAATTAGTTTACAAATTTTAATTATTCCGTTAGGCAGAAATGTTCGGAAAATGATTTTCTCGCATGACTTCAGCATTAGCCATTGTTACAAATAAAACTGTAGACTGTTCTGTTTCAACTTATAATGCACATTCAATTATTTTTTACTAGCTCAAAGATCACAAAGATATATGAAACCCCGTGTTTGCTTCGTTTATGTTTGTGCTTTTAAAACGCTTTTCTATAGAGTAAAACAATTTTAAATCAATGGTAATTTAAATAAATAAAAATAATAAACTAAAAATTAAAATCAATAGATAAAATTTCTTTTTCGTGCAAATCCATAAAAAGTTTGATATTAAAATTATATTTGATTTTAAAATTATATTATATGATTATATTATAAAATTATATTGTAAAATTATATTATAATGTTCTTCCGAATTTAAAAATAAATTAATGTCCATAACTTTCAAAATTAAATATAATTAAATAAATAACAGCAATTTTGCAAAAACATTAAAGAACATAAGAATATTATTCAAAAAAATTTTAGGTTACTCTGAATTTTCGATTTCCTAGAAATGTACTTTTAAATCGTTACTTTTTTTGTTTAGTACTTGTACTTTTACTTGTACTTTTACTTGTACTTTTTACTCGTTACTTTTTAAAATAAGAACTTTTTACTTTTTACTCGTTATTTTTTTTAAAAATACTTGTACTTTTACTCGTTACTTTTTAAAAGTAACGTTGCCATATATGTGTTCAACTTCATAGTCTTGTAATTTTGAATGTGATCCAGAAGACAAGTGAACTCTAGGATTGGGAGAAATTTGGGTTCGTAAGAGACTTTTTTGATGGATCTAGCCAGTATTGCGTTACATGGAGAGGGAAACCACGAAAATATAACCACCCATGGTTAGCTTGGCGGCAAGGGGACTCTAATTCATAATTCGTCTATCACTGAGGATATTTTACGTCCGCACTGACGTCGTTGCGAGCCGGGTGCAAAATTCGTGTCGCTCAGCCATCGCAGGGATTCTAACCCGGGTCATTTCATTAGGAGACGGGTGCTCTAGCCTCCAAGCCACCACGACTCTTAGTAATTTATTTAGTGAAACTCTAAACATTCCTCTTTAAAGTTTTTTTTTTAATACTTGCACCGGCAAAGTATTTTCATTTGATATTAAAATTGAACAGTAGACTGAAAAACCTTGTCGCGGGGCGTTGTGGGCCTTGTTCAATATAAAAACTGCGAATTTTAAATGTATCAGGTCCTTATAACGAAAGATTTTGCTCTCAGGAATTTATTAAAAATTAAAAGGGTATCACAGCTATTTTTTTTTTAAATAGAAGAAAAGGGATATGAAATATCGTGATAGAAGTCATTGCAATTGTTTAATAAAATATTATATATAATTATGGATCCCTAATGTATTCAGTAAAAGAAAAACTCACATATATATAGCTAAATTATTATGTTAGAAACAAACGTTACGCAACATCGGTTACTTCAAAATATTGGAATGAAAATCATATTTTTATAGTCATTTTTTAACAATTATTTTTATTTAATTCTTCTTTTATTTACTTTTTACGGACTGTGAAGTTTTTAGGTATATAAAGATTAAAAAACAATTGTTTAAACTTTTGGGATAGATAATTTACGTAAGTGGTTTCCGTTGTCGAAAAATTTAATGCGATAAATTACAAAATGTTTATTCTATTTAATATTATTACCCCGGTTTTGTAAATTATGCATCAATATTTTTAATATTCTAAGATTTAAAAATTTAATTTTATTTAAATTTATTTAAAAATTTAAAGTTTTCAAAAATTACAAGGACTGATTGTTATTAGACCAAGAAAACAAGTGAAGCAGAAACGCAATTTGAAAAAAAAAAAATATGTTCATATTGTGGTTATTATTAAGCATTACACTTCTTTATTATTTATTTACAATTTTTCATTTATCACATCAAAGACTTTAGTTTAGTTACTTAATATCTATATTCAAAATCTATTATTATAAAGTGAATTTAGTCATAAAAAGGAACATTCCTCCAAACTTAATCCTTGTTGCGAAAATTCGGCCATTACAGGAGCCAGCTCCTTCATAGCCAATTTGAATAGCCAAAGAATATTTGCCTTGCTTTTCATGAAGAAAATCTGAGACTGCCTTTGACTACCGGCAAATGATGTTACCGGAAGAGTAGGAAATACATCTTCGATTCTTTTCGAATATCACGTGACGAGACGTAAGACTTATAACGCGAGCTGCAGGTTTAGAATTTGTCAGTTGCACTTAACGGTTTGTTCGGGAGTGTCACAATATGCAATTCTACTTCATTTGCTCAATAAATATTTTTTTCTCAACTGTGAAAACTTTTTCTCAACTCAAAAAAAAGTAAACTCATTCATCCCTGTTAAAGAAGGCGTCACTACTATACAGTATTCAGTATAGTATACAGTCACGGACTCATTTGGCTATTGGACAGGAAATGGAAGACGTGATAGACTGTTGAAAGAACTTTCAATTAAGCATAAAAACGTTACATGTCATGGCATTAAACTGTGTACATCCACCATTATGAATTTTTTCAGAAGAAAAGAAAGGTATTAAAAGCGGTATTGATGTGAAACTTATGATTTTTTTTCCAGAATTTCATTTCCGTTGTCAGGTAGATTTTATTGTCTTTCAACCTCAGTACAGATAGGGTGTAAAATGTTATTATGGTGCACCAAGATCATCTCACATAATTTGTCATTCTCTAGTCTCTAACTTCAAAAGTAAATAAAAAAGCAGCTTATAATCTAGTGGACATATTATCGTTCCGTGGAGCGTCATTTCTACTACAATCTGACAATGGTAGGGGAACGGTAAAATAATGTGATCAGCATGAAGGAGTTTTAGTCAGCACCGAAGATCATCTATGGAAAGTCTCGCCATTCACAAAGCCAGGGTAGTGTTGAGAGATCTAATCAAGATTCTTGAATGCAGGCTAACAAATTTGTCCTCCAAAGATTAGGACTGCATTTCCTTCTATTTATGAAAAATAGGGATCATCATACTTGGATAAAAAGACAACAACATACGAAGCTCTTTTTGTCTACAAAACTAAAGTAGGGTGGACAACGTCTATTCTACCCGAATATGTTTTAGAAGACATAAATGCAGAGGAGCAGATATAAAATAGATAGCCTTCAAAAAATGTAAGAAGATGAAACTAATAACATTAGGCAAGAGAAAGAACCTGTTGCGAAAAACATGGAAGAGGTTATAGTCCATAGTGTATTAAACCAACATGATGAAGAAATACCTTCTGAAACGATTTCTGATTCTGATACTTGTTGTACCTTATTCATGGATTAAATAGGATTGAAAATAAGTCTTGGTAGTCATTGATATCTTTCCGAAAACAGCTTACATTTCATTATGCTTTGCAATTGCAACCTGATTTCACTCTTTTTCTGGAGAATGCATAGTCCTGAATAGTACGAAACTGAATGAATCATAACTGTTTTCGTATAATTTCAGTTATTAAAATTTAAATAAAATGTACTTCAAATTTGTATATGTTTTCAATCATTATAATGGGGGTGTACTTTTCCTTAAAAAGGGAAACCTAAATATTTAATCATTGTAGAATTTTATCTGCATCGTTGAACTAAAACATGATTTTATATTTTTCTTTTTTAATTCCTAAATTTATTTTTTGATTTTGTTACATATACATAAATTAAGTATCTATATAAATACAAAACAAAATAGAAACATTTCTTCTTACAATCGGATACTTCGAATCGACAGCACACTTGAGTCAACCAATCAGGTACGACGCACACGAGTGACGTTGCTTCTAAGCATCCGATTAAATCTTATCCAAAAATTAATTCAGCATGATAATAAACCTAAGTTTTAAATCTGTGGCGTTATCGCGCTATGCACGACCACGTGATTCGACACAATTATGTGATTTGTTTCAAGTACCCAATTGGAATTCAACTTCCATTTTATAGATCCTCGGAAAACCTTCCTCGGAAAGTGAAAAAAAAAAAATACCTAGAACATGCTCGTTCGTTCATTTAGTGGAACTGGGCGTCTGAGGCCATTACGGCCCGCTACCTCGAACATATCAGAATTGTTCTGTTACTAAAACTTTCGGAAAAAAATTAAATACTGGTAGTAAAAATATTTACTTCCAACTTTTATTTCGAATGAAGTAAACTATCCATTATTACTACTTCTTAATAACAGTTAAAATATGCATGTTTTATGGATGATTGAAAAAATGTGTTTAGCGGGGTACCTGAGAGCGGGAGCGGGGGTCACCTGAGATGAGGTCTCTTACCCATTCATCATTAATGTCAGAAACGTTGATGCTAGTACATGAAGTAGCTGTACGCTAATGGTGTAGCTGAAGATAAAAGATTACCTTAACCGATATATTTAAGTTTTAAAGAAATGTAAGTTAAGTTCAAATGGGAATTATGTACAAATATATTTGAGAAACATAATAACTATTTACATTATATACATAATATTGAATGGTGTCATTTTTAAAATCATGTTTAAGTAACAGATTAATAATAAATATTTGAAGTATATACACAGTATCCTGTTTGTAAATAAAATTAGGTAAAATACAATTATTGTTTGTGAAAGTTAACACTATGCATACTTATAACTGTTAATATACAGTGTTAGTTTTATTCCTTCCAAAAACGGGTAAAAATGAAGCTAATGCTAGTTTTTTTTCTCTAAAATTTGTAACCCTTATTCGTGCTCTATTTCAATGTTTTTATAGCAAAATATTACTTTTTTTATTATATTTATGTATTTTTATAATCAGAAATAATATTTAATACTTAAAGGTACATTAAATGCAACGATAACTTGTTGTAATACAAAAATAAAATCAACGTTAACATTAGATGAACAAGAGTGTGGACAAAGCTATCAACAGATTAGAATTCTGAAGCAAAAAGCAGTTTCTGTACTCAATTTATGCAATTAGTGAAAGGGGCTAATGTGATGTTTATTTCTTTTTTCAGGCCATTGATTGTATGAGCAGAATTATAATGGTAAGCATTTCATTATTAACAATGGTTATCCAACAGTTGGCTCTTTTATGTTCGTGTCCTACTTTTGTTTTACGTGCCAATCTCAGAAAATTGATTTTTGTTTCACTTCTCTTTTTTTTCCAAGTCTGATTTTGTGTCACAAGGTGAATGTATTGTTTTTATGGTAATTCAAATCCAAAAATTTATTTACTTCTCCATTCTACACCAATTATTATTCGTGATTATATTGATTTTAATTTTTATCAACCTGGGTATTATTTATGATATCAGAAACAAATTCATGGATATCAAAACTGATAATTTTGTTTAAACAAAGTTGATGTTTTATTTTGTAAGTTATAAATTAAACTAAGGAGAATAAGTAACCCAAAGTTAATTAAAATCATGAAAAATAGTGTACTAGTCATAATGAGACAGTATTAATAGTAAAGTGTATTAGTCATAGAAGAACGACACATATGCCTATCTGGGTGGTCCCTATCAGAAACAATTTAAAAAAATGGTAATAAATATTTCATGAAACTGTTGGAAAAAGTATAAGCTTTAATTTTATAAATTAAATTTGTCAATTTCAGACAAATTTTAATTTATAATAATATTTTTGGTAGACTCGTTGTTTGCCCTGAAGTATTTCCCTCCTATTTTTCTGGAGGACGAGTAATTCTGATTTCTGAGCATTTACTTGCAAATTCCATTTTAAACACCGGACTTCAATGCTGCATTTCTGTAATTTTTGAATGGCGAGTTTGGGGCTGCTGGATTTGACAATTTTATTTGTGCCATCAGCGTAATACATGGTTTAACTCTTGTAATCTCCTCCTATTAATAAAAAAGTCGTATGTGAATAGGATATGGAGTATAAGGCCTAGTATACTTCCTTGAGGTATCCTTGTTAAAATCTGGCGTAAAGATTATGCGATACTTTTGTAATCTATGCGAAAGTTTCTATTTGAGCGATAAAGAATTAATTTTATTGTTATAGATGGAAGTTTTACTGAATTTAATTTGTATATTGTTTCTGTATGTTATAATCAGTCGAAAACCTTTTCGATATCAATATTAAGAAGTGCAGAGCTTTCTTATTACGTCCGATGGCACCTTAGCCTTAGGGATGGCACCTTAGCTCTAAAACCATAGTTCTGGTTTGAAAAGTTGTAAAATAGAGGTTTTATTCTGTTATAAATCACTCGTTGCAATTTTTCAATCACACTGAAGAGTCTAATAAGCCCATTACAGGATGGCAGGGTATGATCTTCATAAGATTTTGGAATTACAATTATGTTTCTCCGTCTTCGAACTAATACGTCTTCGAGACTTCAAGAAAGTTGGTTAGGCATGGGAATGCATTAAAAATATAAGTGATTGAGACAATATTTTTCAGGAAGAAGTACGTGCATTTTGGTTTTAATGGTTAGTTTTTGGGCTGTTCATGGTTTGAACTTCTTGATATATCGTTCAATTTCCTCAGAGTCAGTAGCTTCAATGAGTTCGATCCTTGAACCAAAACAATAAAAAAATAAATAAGTAAATAAATAAATAAAAGCTGCCATAAACATTTAATTTTCAGAACGATAACAGTTTAAATGTTTTTTTTGGATTAAAACAAGATACGTAAAGAGACTTTTTATTTAAAAAAAATAATAAATAGTTTAAAGTTTAATACAACTTAAGAGCTATAATTTTGCCATACCTTATACGAAAAATACCAATGCAAAACTTCATTACTGCTGTAAGTCAAAATTTAAATATTTCGCTGCCTCGAGTGCAAAAAGTTAGACATCCTAATTAAACAAATGGAAGCACTCAAGCATTTAAAATATCGTCATCATCGAAATTTACCTGGGTGCCGGCGACTGCTTACGGTCATTTTCTCATAATTTACAATATCCGATACGATTTTCTCAAATCATAATTAAGCATCATGGAATAAAGTGATTATTCAGTTTTAAGATTTAAAATGTGAAACTTCTCTGCTTAATTTCCGCAAGATTTACTGAGTTTTTCCCATTTGGATACTTGAAAGAAGACATAAAGCTCAAGCCAACGGCTGCTCCTTTTTGCAAGGATGCATCTTTATCTAGAATACAGAATACAAAATATTTTACTTTTTTTCATACTCCAATTTGCTTTCCAGTCCCTGGAAAGTATCACATCAATGCCACTATCTTCAAACTGGATATGAAAAGGACCGTAAAACGGCCTCAAGAAGATGATGATTTTTATGATCTTTTAATGATGCTGCCGTGCTTAATTTATAAAATTGAAGTAAAAATTAAAACCTTTAGAATTTTTGACACCCTCATTAAACATTTAGCAACACTTTTTTAAAATTTCCCTGGTTATGGCTACCTTATTGATATGATGTTTGAATCATCACCTAACTGCTACTATATAGTCTGCTAATCTCAAAGAACTTTTACAGCGATAAATAATACACGATGGAGAGGATAGGGACAGCTGCGCAGGCCAGGCACCCAGCTCATAAAACAAGTTCAGTTTGAATCATCATTTTGCAAGTTATAAAATTAAAATAGTAGTTAACTATTCTTTTACCTTTTCGAGATATTTTAAATGATGTTTTTAAGATGGATACCACTCAAGATGAATGTCTAAAATTTACTGCAAGCAGTGTGAAAAAGGGTTAATCAATTTCAGGCCAACTATTCGTCTCTGTTTTCCGATTCTCGCGAGGGTGGTCAAGGAACGACGGAAATGAGTCACTCGTACAACAGAAACAGCAACAATCATCAACAGTGGTACGATTTGCTGGACAATTTAGTGGATGCTTGTCGGAAGCAACCTAGAGCAGTAAGTTTTCGTGTTTTTCTTGTCTAATAAATGATCAATGTTTATGAAGGATCAATGAAAGAAAGTTTTATGCTTGTAGCTGACAATTGTAAAGCTTATGTGTGTTATAAAAAATTGTAGTTGTTGTAAATTTACATTAACGCTAGAGAGATTTTTCTTTTTTGAGATACTACTTTAATGTGTATAGTTCTGGTAGTACAGAGTTTCCATGTAGATTTATTTTGCTTAATAAATACATAATGAATATCGATGATCACAAATGTATTAAATAATTAAGGTTTTTCTCCTTTTGGTTTCTTTTACTGAAAATCTTGTTCTGTATATCCTGCCCTGTAAATCCTATACATAGTTTATGTTTTAACCCATATTTTCATATTTTCTTAGAATATCATATGATAGATTCGAACCTAAGTTACCGCATTGGGAGGCGAACGTTCCTTGAGCCACTTCGGCTCTAACTAGGTTTTTATTTTATTTCATAACCGTCATTGAACAGTTGACCTAATTTTAAGTTTATGACTGTCAATACGGGTCATAGCCTTATAATTTTAAACCCAGCCTTTAAGACGAGAGAACTCCTGGATAGAGCACTGGGATATATAAGTCTTGGTGGAAGACTATTTTTTTATGGAACTTACCCACATTTGTGCTCATGCTGAGGAAAACCACGAAAACGTCTACTACTGAAAATATTTTACGTCAGTACTGTGGCTGGTGCGAGTCGGGCATAGCATTTGTATCGACCAGATACCGCTGGGATTCGAAACAGGGATCACTTCATTGAGCGGCGAACGCTTTATCACCTGAGCCACCGCGGCTCAATCTATGTTCTTATGAAAAATGGGGAGATTTCCTGTGAAAAATGAACAATATACTGATAGATTTTTAGCCCAATGGACAATTCTTAGTCCGTATTGCAAAATATATTAAAAAATATTGCTAATTATTGCATTTTCAACGTTTAACTTTAAAAAAAATCAATTACATTTACTACTGAAAAATATTACTTAACGTGGCCTGAAATAACTTAATAGCGACATATTCCAAAAGAATTTTTTTCAATATTTTTTACTGAAAAAAAGAACCACTTTTGTTTCTATAAATGTCGTCATTTATCCGGTAACTAAAGCTTTAAAATGTCAACAAATTCTGAGACACGGTTCAAACCGATTAGCCCACCTCATTTACTTGGAATATAAATATAAAAGCTGAAAATAAATGAATCATTTTAAGGTATTGCTAGGTTTAATGTCTCTTTTATCTATTAATAGAGATCTCGAGAGAGAAGAAAAACTGACCCAACATGAATAAATTTTTATTCGATTTGCTTTTATTTCTAAAGAAAAGGTGAAAGTCAGTACAGCTTTATTATGGCAAAGATTCAAAAAGCAGACTTTAACCCGAGCATTGATTTTTCTCATTTTAGTAGTTCATTAATTTTTATTAGTTTTATGAATTGTAGGTCGAAAAGAGTAACATTTAACTAACCTTAAACTACGTTTTTAATCACGTTTTTTAATGTGCTACTAAAAAGTGATATAAATATATTAACTTGTAAGTTAACATGGAACATAATTAGATTTGCGAAAAAAGTTGCTTTCAATCCATTAATAAAAGTTATGCATTTTCAAACATTTGATTTTGTATTTTCACCGAACTTTTTACTTAATAAAATAACTAAATTGAACTATGTTTCCCCGATCATCATTCTTAACGGTCATAAAAATTCTTTCGCAATTTTCTTTCAACGAAAACCATAATTTAGATTGTTTTATTCATTTCAGCTTATGTACATATATACCAAAAAAGCAGTTGCCTATACTCTGTTGCAAGTTAAAAAAAAACTATTTTCCATATGGAGAGAGCCTGTTTACATCTAAGTGCACGTTAAATGGATGCCAAGTTCCTAGCGCGAACGAATATCAACATCACCAACTCTTGAAACGACGTAGGACGGCCTTCTTTTTGCTAATAAAAAATAGCACGAATTAAATTTCTATCAGACGAGTTTGACTTTTAAAAGCTTTTATATTGTTTTGAAAGCGTAATTATATAATTTGATAGCTAAATAAAACGGATGCAGTCGCGATTGAATACTTAAATCCTATTCCGCAATGGTCTTTTGTTAGCTTGCAACGGAATATATAATAGAAGCCGCTCCAGACGTCTGAATTAAACCATATTTTAAGATTATTATTTTCATTCTTAATATTAAATATTATATAGCTGTCATAAATATGTTGTATTAAAATAACTATATGTTGTTTTAGTTAATTTACGTCGCACTAGAGCTGCACAATGGGCTATTGGCGACGGTCTAGGAAACATCCCTGAGGATGATCCGAAGACAAGCCATCACAGTTTTGATCCTCTGCAGAGGGGATGGCACCCCCGCTTCGGTAGCCCAACGACCTGCACGCGAAGTCGAGCACTTTACGGTAGAACAGATTAACGAGGACCCATACAGCACACCCTCGGTCCCTACGCAAACTGATCCAAGCGGTCTCCCACCCGCACACTGACCGCAGCCAGTGATGCTTGACTTCGGTGATCTTCTGGAAACGGTGTCTTAACGATCAGTTCACTGCGGGACCTTTATAACTATATATAACTATATATTCTTAACATCAAATATTTTCAAAATAATTATTGTTCTAATTATAATTAAGAAACAATAATTAAACGAAAAAGATAATGATGATTGATCACAAGAGAGAAAAAATTGTGATCGCACCATTGCGATCACTGGTTACCAATTGGTCAAATAATTTTTTCTTTTTATTTATGGATGGTCTTTCATAAATTCCGTAATAATATCAAGGGAAAAAAAATCAACTGATGTTTCTTTTTCGGTCTTCCAATAGACTGCATTGGTTTTCAATTCCAGTTTAATATCTAATTATTTACTTCGGATTTCTACTAACTCCAAATATATGTTTAAGACGTTACAAAGTTCTTTTCTATCTTCACTATTCCTATTTATAAAGAAATCACCACCAATGATTGAATAAGATTGAAGGGTAAGGATAAAATAACTTACCTTCTATTGTATTTACTTATAAATGGATAAAAATTGACGTACAAAAACACAGGGAAAAGTAACTATATATTTATATCCGTACTTCGCACCAGAGAAGAAAAACTAAAAACTAAAGAAGTTGCCATCCAGTGGTACAATAATAAAATAATAAAAATAAAATAATATAAAAAATTAATTACAGGTGGTGCTGTATTTTGGCACATATTGGCTACCGCTACAAGATGAATGAAAACCTGATTATAAATAGGAATATGAATAAGTTAATCATAAAAAAATCATAAAATACTTTTAATCACTATTATGCAAAAACATTAAAAATGCACGCTAGTGGGGAAAAAATGACTTAGGTTTGAAAATTTGAACCTTCAGGAATTCCAGAATTATCGTCTGCTTATTTATTTGAACTTCTTGCTCTACGTTTTTATTAAAGCTTATGCTAACCGGATTTTTTATGACTCTTTATTTGTAACTTAATTCGTAAAAACTATTTATTTGGGATTATGGTGAAGTTGATCTATTCAAAAAGTGTGCGCAGTAATGAAAAACCTAGACTACCTTTTTTTTCCGAATGAATTAACAAATAATTAATGATTGATTATGAATTAAAGATAGTCTTTCTTTGGTTAATGTGTTCACAATTGTTAATTAACTTTAATTTAACGCCTGTATTCCGAAAAGTCGACTATTTAGAATTATCAAGTCGAAAAAAAATTACAAACCGATGCCATAGTATTTGTCATAATGACATTTCTTTCTATTCACTAGATATTTGCTTGTAAATATGAAGGGAAATCGCTTATAACATCTCATGTTTAGTTTTTTTTGCTGTATTTTCTCATGTGCGATCTATTAGTTATATACGTGGACAAATCGAATTTTTGTGAACTTATTTTAACATATTGAAAACTTTTTCGCTTGTCTTTACTTTTTACTTTAACATGCTTTTCAAATGTTTCAAACACAATGGCTATTAAAAGAGGTTTGATTATATCGTATCAAATCTAGAATATTGACACAAACACCCGTCAAAGAAGAAATCGACAACAGTGGAAACTGGAAAAAAAAAACTCTTTACAAAATACGCAGAAAAAGGACTAATAAACAAACAAAAAGGTGAATAATCGAATTGTCTGCAGATAGTTGTTCAGTTTACTGATTCAGATTGAATTCATTTAACAATCTTAATTCAGGCTTGTTATTTTTCATCAGTAAATATTTCATTTTATTTAGGGGCATTATTTTATTTGTCTGTTCATTTTTTTTTTTTACGCCAAAGCTTTTGAAGGAAGGAGGTTTGATCATGGCCGCCTCGGAAGTTGGAGTTGACGGTTGAAGAGGCTGCCCTGTTTTGATCCATCCTACCAAAGGGAAATATTGGAATTTAATTGTTGATTAAGTTACAGCTCTTTTAATTCTTGTAATAGCTTTTCAAACGAAGTTGGAAGATTCGCATCACCTTTTACACTATAAAATCCTTAAAAAAGTCTGTTCAGAGTTGCAGAAAATAAAAATATAAACCTACATTATAAGCTACCAAGCAATGTTTCCTTGAAAATTTAACTATGTTTACAGGAAAAAAATCAGCTTCAAACATTTCTCTTGCTATATATAAATAAATATTACGTTGAAAATTGCATTTCTATTTTCAGAGGTTGCAAACTTGCATAAGAAGTGAGCTGATTAAAGTAAGTAACTAAAATAGTTTTACTATATACTATATTTTTAATAACAGATACTACAAGTTTTTTTCAAAAATATGGAAGCAATTTTATACTATTTCTATGAAAACATTCTTTCCTTTAGCAATATACATATTTACATGGCTAAACGCCTGATACAATTCAAAAGATTATGCTTAATTATATTAATATAATTGGAGTATAATAATTATATATTTCAACGTTATTATAACTGATTTTAAATAATTTCATTACTGTGATTTTTTATACTGAGAAGCAAAATTTAAAACTATTAGGTCATCATTATTTATAATTATTATTTAGTTCATTTTATATAATATAAGATCGCCAAGCTCAAAAAGACGTATCTTTTTAAACGTACTCAGTAAAAATCGTCATAGCAACGAAATAAGCGCAGTTACACATTTAGAGTAACAAAGATAAATTAAAATAATAAATTGTTGGCAAAATGAATCTCCATAGCCGTGCAATTTTGAAGTCAAGGGCACTTCTGGATATAGCATTAGAACAAACTAGCCTTCGTGGAGGAATATTTGAGGAAATTAACCCGTATATATTAAAAAAAAAATTAATGGTACTAATAAGTGGTTTTGATTTTCAAATTAATTGAAACAAAGTAAGAAAAGATTGCATCACTCGCTTAAGTAATCTTTTTTTGTCTATAGACAAATTATAATTTGGAAAATATTCTCACAATAAGCAGCGTATTTTTATGAATTATTAAATTTTTAGACTTAGTGATTAGAATATGATTATACTTTTAATTAAATTCATAGAATTAACCCGGATTAACAGTGATCCTGTAATTAATTTTATCGAAGACATGCTATCTTAATTTTGATTTAATGATCAAATTTTTAGCGTTGTAGATACAGTATGCTACAGGACCGCTTCACCAGTTATCCCGGTCGGTGGACGTCACAGAGACGTACGGATTATGACTCCGGATACAACGATAACTATGGACGGATGGATCCGAGGAGGCGTTATCCGTACATGGGAAGTGGACGCAGAGGTCAAGACGAGCTGATGCTTGTGGCTCGACCAACAAATTACGGATTTAACTCAGATTCCAGGTAAGTTTATTATTAAATATTGTGAATCTAAATACTCTAAAAAGATACTTTTATCAAAGATTTTTTAAGTTGGTAGAAATGTTATTCTAAGTGAGTAACTGCCAGCACGTAACTATTGCTTTTCGCACTGCTTAAAGTGATAGAGTACTAACCATTAAATAAACAAATACTTTTGAAATTTTTGTCAAATTTTTAAAAACATTGTATAATGCTTATCAGTTTTTTAGAGATTATTCTTTGAATTATTTAAATGTCTCAGCGGTTAAAACGTTAAACATAAAACTTTGCTACTTATTTAAGTGCTTGGGAAGAATCTCTTATTGTAGTAATCTATACACATTTATATATATATATATATATATATATATAAGATCAAAATGAAGATAAAACAAAGGAAAATTATAGACATATGTAAAAAGGGGG